ACTGGGCTCAAAAACAGTTTTCAGAGTTTGTTTCACAGACCATGCTCAGCATTTCTTCCCCCCACTGTACCCCTGACTTCCTGCCATTTCACTTATTTGATGGCAGGACAGCCCTCTGTGTGGGCAAATCAGCAGTTATATGTGGTACTCCCCTATAGGCAGTAGTAGCTCTCTGCTCTTGTTTACTAAGTGGGCTACCAGGAGAATCAGAAGACTCTGATTCAAAGGGGATCAGAATCAAAAAAAGAGAACTCTCATTAATCTAGCTCCCAACTGTGGGGAAATGCTGCTGTAATTTCAGGATATCTATAATGCAATGTAGTGGTTAAAGTTGTTCAAGTCCTGGGCACCATGAAATATTTGTGAGGATGCATCCTTAATCAGGGCATAACCTTTTCCTCAGAGTTTCTAAACTTGAATTCATGGACTTATATCACAATGGGGGAAGAAAACTTTTATGGGCTTAAATAATGGTTTTTTTCACACATGTGTTAGCACTAACAATGCCATGTCCTAAAAACTGAAGCCAAAGCATTAAATAACATGACTGATAAGCTTGTTGCAATTGCAGAGGAGGTGCAAACAAGAAAAACAAGGATGCCTTTTTTGGAAAATTTCTTTTCAGGAAGTAGCAACTCCAAGTGGCCCCAGCCTCCTAAGGAGCCATTAGTTTATTAAAGGGCCCCATGTCTCCTGTCTTCTAACACTCCTTTGTCTAGAAGTTTGGCAGTGTCATGGAGAAGATCCCAGTGTCATGGGCAAAGATATGTCTAAACTGGTCTGTTACAAGTCTGACTAGAGACCAGGGACTGGATGAGGCCATCTCCCCAGGCACTACTAGAGGCATCTAAAGAGACAGGAACCTTAGTAAAAGGAAACAGCCAAGAGCTACAGAGAGAGGAGAGTCCTCCAAATGAAAACACAGCCAATATTTCTTGGTGGACTCTCAGCCTTATTTACCTGAGATGAGTTTCCTGCCTCCCTATTCCACCACTTGCAATATATTTTTAGGATATTTTCATGAGCAACATGTTTGCAAACCTTTTATAGATCAGTTACAAAACAGAAACTCTTCCTCACTGCTAGATAAAAATGTAGTAGGGGGAAAGAAAGAAAGAAAAAAAAAAAACCTTGCCTGTAATTGAAGGCAGGTTGAGAGATGTTCACACTTTGAAATCCTCCTTCTTGTGAAATGTTTATGAAACATTTTCCACAAACGAGTTATGCAACTGGGACAACAGCTTTGATCATTTTCATCACCAGTGATATATTCATTAGTGTTGGGCTGTTTTTCCTCCAGAGAGGGCCATATGAAAATGTCATAGGAAGGGGGCTAAGGATGAGCACTCTAGTGCCCCCATGCCCCATTGCATGGCCCAAAAACAAATGGTTAATAAGGAGGTCCAAGTGTATGTCTGGGCCAGAACACTGTCTTCTCCATCACCATCTATCCTCACTTCTATCTCTGAGATGTTTGTGGTATTGTTTTGCAGAAAGAGCACCACAGGAGTATTAAAAGACCATTCCTTGTCAGAGTTTTGCCAGTGTTTTGTTATGTAACTTTTTACCCATTTGCAAAGCTCTCTGAGCCTCTGTGAGATGGGAAGGTAAACACTTGTCCCCACACCTCCTGGCTGGGAGATGAAGCCAAGTAAGAGGCTTCCAGCTCCTCAGAAGGGGCTCTCTCCTTCCAGAATGAGGCTACTGCTTTCTAAAGCAGGTGATGTCAGGGAGTTCATTGGGTTTAAAAAAGATAATCATTCATGATACTTTTTACTTTCTGGTCACTGCCCAAACTCAGTGTAATACCTTTTGCACAGTGCAGTAGGTGGAGGAGATCCTAAGCTAACAAACCTTGTCTAATATATGGATAAGATAATCAATGGCTGTAACAGGGCAGAGCTCTCTCTTGTGGCTCATGTCCCCAGGAATAGTCCATTCTAAGTAGAGTCTGGAGAAATATTTCACTTGCGTGAGAAGAACTGCCAAAGGGACCCTGGAGACAATCTTCACAATTCCAGGCAAGCTGTGGGTTTGGTTGAGTTTTCACAAGTACAGGGGAAATTGAGTTTTCATCCAATTTGCCTCCGGTTCTCACATTAAAAGTCAGAGGGATCCAATAGAAGTCTATCTCATCTTCCAGATCCACAGCCAACACCCAGTTACCTGGAAAGGCTCCAATCTTTTCCATTGGACAGCTGTAAAAGGGATTTTTTTTTAAAATTTGGGTAGGACTTTATTTCTGAATTTCTTAGTTTCTGAGCCCCTGAAATCTCAGAAAATTGTTGAAGAAGTGTGCTAGGGGCAATAAGAGTTGATGATGTATTTTATTTCAGCTATGCTCTTTCTGAGACCTCCTGACCAAAGTGGAGATTTTAGAACTTGTCTTATAAAAAGAAGTCTTCTTTACTGTCTTTCACTTTGACTTGTTTAGGATTGTCTTCTTTGGGGGTTGCTGTCAGCAGCACACACCCAATGGGTAATGAATTATGAAAATTGAAAGAGTAAAAAAAGTTAACAAATACTTAGAATAACACACAAAATTGTCAGAATGCCACAGACTAATACCCAAAGAAACTTTGTGCTATAAGGCACTTCATTTCCAGAACTAGAAGGTGAACAGTGCCCCTAAAACAGTTTGAAGGACAATTGATCCAGGAAGCAGATGAAAGGGTGAGTTTTCTTTTATGATAGCTCTGGTTTCTGAAATTAAGTGTTGCAGGAAGACCTGGCACTGATTCTAACAGATAGTATGCTCAGGTTGGAGGCAAAGCACATGTTTTCAAGCTCTGTCATAGCTACACCTCCTTATCTCTGCATTGGGCATAATGAGTCTACAAAGGAACCCTGCCACTTGCCTCCCAGTGGGAGCTGGGCCAAACTGCCTGAGGTGGTTCCACCAGCATGGTTTCAGTTCTAGTTTTCCATATTCTCTCTCTGTCCCCCACCCCCACCCCCATCCTCCATCCTGCCTCACCTATCCCCTTTCTTGAATGAGTGATAAAGAAGGTAGATTTGGGAAGGGGAGGCTGGCCAAAATGGCTTTGCTTAAGAAAAATCTCCTTTCAGAGACAACCTTAAAGTCATTGGTGGTAGTTTTAAATAAGTAGTTTATCATCTAATTCCAGTTTTTAAAAACCTGCCAACAAATGTGTCCCCATAATTTAGGCTGTGAGAACTCCAATTTCTGAGGGAAGAATGAGGACAACAGAACTTCTTAGACAGCGATGCCAGGAGTGGATGGGAGGAGCTGAGGAGTGCTGGGGGGCAGGGATTGGGTTGTGCTGGATATCATGCATGGGCAGCCATGCTTTTTGAATTTTTAGAGAGCCTCACTCTCTGTACCCATTGTGCTACTTACTCTCCCTTCCTCCTCTGTGCTTTCAAGGCTCCAGAATAGTCTTCTTAGATGAGAGGAAAAGAGAGGAATGGTTTGTAAAAATAGTCCCAGGAAGAAGCATCCTCTTACCCATTTCTGTGTAACCAGGGCTCCTTGGTACTATTTGGATCTGCTTTATCTAAGAACACTGCAGCAACCTGGACTAACTCAGTCTGCCAAATACACTATGGAATTGGAAATTCATTTTAGGATTGAAACAGAAAAAAAATCATATACAATCATATAACAGATGGGGAAATTGAGTCTCATAGAGGTTGAATGATTACTCCATGTTACATTGTAAATTAGAGTCAGAGTTAGGACTAGAAACAAAGTCTAGCTCCCTCTTCAATATTTTCATTACTATCTTCCTGGAAACTCTGGAAAGATGGGTTCTATTTATATCTTTTATTTGATTAATATGAATTTGGATCCAGCTATCTGCAAGGCACCATATTTAGGTCATTAGCTTACTCCGCAGCCTCTATTGCCACTCCATAGCATCATCCTAACTCTCCAACCAAAGGGAATTTTTTTCTCTAGTAATCCAAAGCACCATTTTTCGACAAGAATTAAGCACAACTATAGCTGTTAGTCTGAACATTAACTAATTCCAGGATGTTAATGACATGCCCAGTAGAGACCAAGAAAGTGGTTTAAGTCAGGATCTCTATGGCCAAGAGTTTCCATCAGAGGGTCTCCCCAATGTCTTTTATAAGGTGTGGTCCAGATCCTATTCACCTTCCCATATTTTATGGACTTCCCGACAAGCTGCAAGAGAGTAGTTCTCAGGGTGGAAAGGGAGTGCTTCCTGCCCTGCTCTTGGACACCTGGAATCCATGAATGGGTGGTTGGTGCTATCATTGAAGAGTGGTAGAGGCTAGAGAAAGTTTGGACACCACCACAAGCCCCTCACGCTATAACTGTAGCAGTTATTGTGAGGGAGACATGTCCCCACATGTAGAGAGAGAGACAGAAACAATCACCAAAGCCACAGAGGGCTAGCTGCAAAGGCAGCTTAGCAGGTAGAGGACAGGGAGATGCGAAAAACAAGGGGGATAGAGGGAAAACAGGTCCTTCAGATCAGTGGTTCCCAGATTTTGGGATTTTGTGGACCAGGAAAATGAAAACCAAAATATGGGGGGGATTGATAAAGCATTGCTAATTTCATACTTTGTGAGGTGGAGAGTTTTTAAAATAACATTTAGTATCACCATCATCTCAAGGGAAAAAAAATCTCCGATTTAAAATAAAATTTTCAAGGCACTACAATATCTTTATTTTTTCTCATTTCAGTGAGAAAGAGCATAAACTGTATCATGTAGCAGCACAGCTCTTATAATAGTGTTGGGAATGAGGGATCTAAGTGGAGTCCCCATCTTGCAGATTGGTACTCTGGGGGGCCACTCACCTTTGTCTCCTGCCCTGACTTCAAGCCAGTTGCCCTGGCTTGAAGGGCACACACAGGCAGGAAAATCAAGCTGCAACCCAGTAGACTCTGAGCTAGCTCTTTACTCTCCAGGCTTATCACTTATATCCTGCTTTGATATTCTCCAGATTTCCATTTCTGTTGGCCTGAGGAAGCCCAGAACTGACACTTTCCTCCTGCCTCCACTTACAGATTAAAACCGAGGATCTCAGTGACTCCCTGCAGCAGACCCTCGCACCTAGGCCATGCCATCTGAGTCAAGGATCTGCCATGATGTCCGGAAACCAAATGTCTGGGGTAAATGCCAGCCCATGTCAGGAAGCCCTGACATTCTCAGTGGGCCAGTGAGTTTAATTCAAGCCTTCTGCAAAATGCTTGACCTCTAGACTTGGCACTCAGTGAATCTATATTGGTCTAAAGAACACCCTACAGGGAATGTGAAAAAGAGACTGAAGGCCTGGGGTGGTGATGGGGATACAAAATAATCTTCTTCAAGGTGAAACTTGGCTGGTTATGTGAAAAGGGAGGTCTCTAGCTCTCTGATAGTAAAAGGAGGCAATCTTGCCAAAATGACAGACTTAACAGCTATAAGGTTGTTGCCTGCCAGCCACATTCAGGGGAACCCTATAATAACAGCTACTACTATAGTTATAAAGAATGTTTCTGTCCCCAGTGGGCCCACTCCCTCACCCCTAAGATTTTATATCAAAGCTAAACTAGAATGGAGTGCTGGTCCAGGGAAGAAAGAGGCATCCTGAAACAGTAATCACAAATGTCTGAGAGGGTGTTCATGTGGTAAGTCTCTTTCTTGGTATGGATCACCTAAGGAAGAAAGAGCTACCCTTTCTCCAATCATATTTAAGACTACAATGTGCATTCATTCATTTACTTCATTATTCAGCAAGAATTTACCAAGTCCTTTTTATTTGTGCACAGAGCTAACCTCAGCCCTGTGAGGGCACAGAGGCCTGGAGGTGTAGATCACAGAGGACTCCCAGATCCCCCAAGTATTAGGATCAGTATTTCCATTTCCTGAGCTGGTGGGAAGAACTCAGGGGAAATGGACTTTCTATTTAAGCAAACTTGTTTTATTAAGAACTAATAACTTGCCACCTTCGTCCAGGTAAGGTTCAGGTACAGAAAATGGCCAAGACATAGCTTTTAGCAAAATGAAGTGGTATGAGATTTAAAAAAAAAAAAAATTGGATAATCGAGACTACATGTCATTTCTAGGGTAAGCATCTGAGAGATGGGTAATACTTAGTCTGTGTCCTCAAGGCATTTATAGTTAGCTGGGAGACACAAAAGTTAAATAACAAGGCAAGGTTTAAGTGACAATAGGTTGCAAGGCACTGCTTGGCTGAGCTGTAGTAATACCAACATTAATGGAGTAACTACTATGTGCCAGACCTGGGATACACAGAGGCATAAGGCAAGGTTACTGCCTGCAAACTCTCAGTTTGGAGATGCATGGGACAGATGGACAGCAGACATATGGAGCTGGCATCCCCAGCTTGTAAACTCTGTGATGTATATATTTCCCCACATGTAGGATATGACTTCCCTCCATCCACTCCAGCAGCTCGTACTGGTTCCCGGCCACCTACAATCTGTATCCCAGTTCCTGCTATCTCAGACTCAGCCTGGGCAGCAAGGTAAGAACCCTGGGGTTTTCCACATAGGCCAAGTCCAGTAGAGTGCTGCTGCTACTTACTGAGTGAGGGAGCCCAAATGTGGGAGGTGAGCAAGTGGCTTGGCCTTCTAGTATTAAGACCAACTTTTTCACGTCAAGGCCTAAGGAAGGGATCCTATCATTGCCCTTCCAGGCTGAGTCTCCTTTTCCGCTCGCCCCTCAATTCCCCTCATGAAATCTTCCTCCATTTTATAGCCAGTTGAGATTGAAGGTGCAAAGATGGCATGGAGCTGGGGCGGTACAAGGAAGGAGGTGCTCCTTGAGAAATACAATAAAGCCATGACCCAATTCCTCAGAAGTTCCTCTGGAAGCTTAACTGTGATTCTATTTGGGTAGAGCAGTAGTGCCACCTACAGGCTGTAGAGAGGGTTTTCAGGTTTTTGTTTTTTGTTTTTTTGTTTTGGCTGGCCAGAGTAAAGGGGTTAGAATATTTCTAACAATAGCAAACATTTCTTGAGCATGATACGCCAGGAGCACTGCTGAGTGATTTTTCTGATTTATTTTTCAAAACAACCTTGTAGGGTAAGTAACCATATGCCTCTAGTGACCTACTAGAAAATTACAGAACGAGCTGTCTGAAACACAAGTCTTTGCCATCCACAGTACTGCCTCTCCCTCTCCTATTTTCTTTCATCAAGTAGGTCCAAAACTGATAGAGGAAGTATAAGCTCTAGAATCCAAACAAGATAGAACTGTGCCTTCCTTCCTTAGCACCTACCTAAATTACAGTTCCTATTCTTAGTTTCCATGTCATCTTAGAGTATTACTATGATGATGAATCAGAACGTATTTGAAACATTAAGTATTTATTTTGGCTAAAGTTGGCATAATTCTGGAATAAGAAAGGGAAGAGAACACTTAATTCAGTTTCTTTTTGGAAGATAGTGATATAAAATTGGCCCAGGCATATAACCAATAAGGCCAACATATGATGCAGGGCAAAAAACAAACATAAATAAACAAAACCAGTTTAAAAATTGGAGTCATCAAGACTCATTGGTAAAACTTACTAACTGTATGCCCTTGGGAAACTTACTTTAACCTCTCTGAGATTTTATTTCCTCCTCCATTAAAATGAAAAAATAGTAAAATTCTACTTCACAAAGTTATTGAGGGTTATTTGAAATAATGTATGTGAAAATATTTTCTAGACTTCAAAACAATGTAAATGTTAAATTATGACTAGTACTCAGGCCTCTGGGCTCCCAGTTCAGTGTTCTTGCCCATTTATTTTAATAAGAAAAAATTAAGTCCTGACTTTTTTAGACTGAGAAGCATAAAGGTCAGTATCAACAGATGCTATACATCAGTGACCCCAAAATAGCTTAAGGACAACAGAGATCCCAAGGTTCTGCTCTATGCTGAGTGGTTGGGGTAACCTACCCAATCATCTGACTTGGTAGTTTGATGGCACCTCCCCACAGTAAGAGTGAGAAGACCTGGTCGTGGCCCATCTTAGAGGGAGGCCACTGTCACAGCCACTAGCCAGGAAGAGCTCTTCATGGACAGTGTTCCCGGAGAGCAAAGGAAAAAGTGGTCCTTAGGCAGAGCAATAAGTGGGTATAGTCCATACCACCAGATAGAGTTTCTAGAGGCTTAGCCCCTGGTCTTTCCTTCTCTCTTATTCCTTCCTCCCAAGTGTAAAATGTCCTGCCAAGAGCCTCTGGCCAATTGTCCACTGTCCTTTGGAGCTATATAGCCCTGTCTACTTGTTCTGATATCCTTAAAGATTTGGCTAGGCCTTTGTAGCTGTCCCAGGTCCTTCTGCGGGCAAAACAGAAATCCTCAGCTTCAGCTTCAATTCTTAGTAGTCATATCTTTCCCTCCTGGGTTTCTCCAGCCCTGGTTATCAGTCCCCAGAGCAGATCGTCTTGACCCTCTTCAGCCTTTGCATCATCCCAGGCAGGCAGACAAGCAGAAGGACTGGTTTGGGGACTACTGTTTACATCTGTTTATCCCTGTGTCTGATTCGCCTCCACCCGTGTGTGGCAATTCCTGGCAGTGCCCATAGGGGCCTCTCCACACCACTTGAAGTGGTTGAGGGACCTAATTAGGTAGCAGGGAGTAGAGACAGTTATCATGGTTCCAAGTTGTGGAGCATGACTTCCAGATGGTGTGGATTTTATCCATTTGTTCCTTTGTCCCCTCCCCCCTCCCTTTAACCAGGTCTGCAGCCAAATCTCCTCCCCTTTCCACAGCAACAAAGCTCTCTCCTCCTCCCACAGACTGGACCTGGCCTGACATCCCAGGTAACAACCACATTCTTTCTGTTTCCTCTAGGAATGTCTCTACTGTTGACAGAGTTAAGCTCATTGGTTTTCCCCCACCCCTTTGTTGGTGCTCTTACCCCACTGAGAAGAGGGAATAGCAGGAGATTAGCCCTGTTGGCACATAAGGAAATTAAAGCCACAGCCAGGGGAAATGATCAACTCAATATCACTGGTGGAGCCAGAATAAGAACCCAGTGATCTCAGCTCCTGGGCTATCCTGCTGTATAATGCAGGTACTCCACTCTAGCTCTGATCAGGATCTGGCACCACTCATCTCAGAACCAGAGGTCAGCTAACTTTTCAGGGATGCCAAGGTGACTGCCATCCCTGCCTGGGTACTCCCAAGCTCCCAGGAGAGACCAGAGTCTCATAGGCCTGATGTTCAGAGACTAAAAAGCCAGTGGCTCTCACTTCTGGGCATCACTTAAGACCCGCTCTTCTAGATTGCCTCCTGAAGTAGGCACATTGTGTAGGTAAAGAGGACTGAGGTCTGCAAGAGGGGCTATTTGCAGAGCTGCTAGGGGTCTACACAGCACCTGTTTGCTAATTAGAAAAAAGACACCTCTTACTCTGGCTAGATGCGGCCTCATATCAGGATGTATGGCTTGGCAAGGGTAGCAGGGACTATATTGTAGCTGCCATTCCTCCCCTATCTGCACAATAAATAACCTACACATCTACATTAGATGGCTCTGCAGAAATGGATGTTCAGAAGAGTTGGGAATGATTGCAGAGATCTTAATGTCCCTTCTCTGTGCTAAGATCTCCATGGATCACTAAGAGGTTTTAGAGGCTTAGAGTCCACTGAAGACATCTGGAAGGAGGATGCCATCTAGTGGTTAATAGAAATGGTGACACCAGAGTCAAGCTCTTCCACTTCCTCTGGATGGCTTTCCTCAAGATCAATTCTTACATCTTATAATATGAGAGCCAGGAGAGGCCAGAAGCAGAGAGACTGTTTAGAAAGTTATTAATATCATCCTGGACAGTGGTAATGAGGGACTGGCTTAGAGTTATGGCAATAAGAATAGAGAGGAGGGAGTGAATGGGGGGATGTTTGGGGAAGTTAAATCAATACAATTTGGCATCTGATTGGCTAGGAAATGGGGGAGGGAAAAGGTCTAGCAAAGAACTCAATAAGTATTTGCCAGGTGAAAAAACAAATGAATTAATGAAAAAGAAGCCTCAAAGAGAACTGAGGCTTTGTCCTAAGGGTCTGGTCTACGCCACACCTTCCCTGCAAAACAGGATTGAATCCATAGTAGTTTCAAATCACTCTGTTCTAAAAGACTCTTCACTGGAGAAAAGAGTCTTTAACTTGTGTGTGTGTGTGTGTGTGTGTGTGTGTGTGTGTGTGTGTGTTTTACCTTCCTTATCATAAGGATACCTATCTCACTGGTAAATCTAAATATCTTGGAAGAGAGAAGGTATAAAGTTACCCCTAGTCTAAGAAAAGAGTAACTAGGAAAGATGGAGAAGAGGGTGGACTCATTATCCACATGGGCAATGGCCCCTGCACTGGACATAATACTTGGACCAGTAGGCCTGGGTTCATTTCCTTCTTTGTGAAATGATAGATGTCTTCACGAGTTCAATTCATTCCTGACTCCAAATGGGAACAACATGGATTCTAGGTTTAAGAGTCCATTTTTCTGTGAACATAAACTAAAAAAACAGTGTCTCCTGACAACCACAAATGAAATCAAGGTGCATTTAGATAGCACTGGAATGCCTTTGATTTAAATAAACAAACAAACAAACAACAAAACCACTTATGAAAGAAAAACATTTAGAAAGTAAAATGGCAGTCACAAGAGTTTGATATTTTATGAAAATTCTATTAATATAATGAGTCTTAGATGTCCTCTGTTATCTTCAGGTAATGCCTGTTAAACACTTCAATAACTTTGCTTTGTGGAAAAAGAAAAAACAAGCTAAGCAAACAACCTTTTACCTTATCCTGAAACTTGTTTTTGGATTCTTTGTAAACAACTCTGCTAGCTCCTTTTATGGTGGAAAACTGAAAGGAAGAGGATACCTGCTTAGAATCAAACAATGAGTCATAGACTAAAATCTAGAAAAGCCATCTCCCTTTTTCACACTTCTACTGTTTCTACCCTGGCTATTCTAGGTATTTACTATCCCTTCATAGAAACTCCAATTTCTACTTCTATGCCATGAGAAAAAAAATAGGAATCCAATGTAGCCAGGGATCTGTCATCTTCTAAGTGTGCCTATTAGTATGAAATATTAGAAAATGCCATTTGATCTGCTCCTTGTATATCTGCTTGGCTTATGTTCCCTCTTAGGCAATTGGGCGCCCCGGGCTGCCAGGATCCTCTTTAGAACCCCACCTGGAAGTGTCCCAGCATCTCTCAGTGCCCAAGCACCTACCCAGCTCTGGAGGGGCTGATGAGCCCAGTGACCTGGAGGAGCTCGAGAAGTTTGCCAAGACCTTCAAGCAGAGGCGCATTAAGCTGGGCTTCACACAGGTTTGGTTTTGTGGGAAGAGATGGAAGAAATTGGGTTGAGTGAGTGGAAACTGGGCTTCCTGAGTGTAGGATTCAAGAGCAATTTGAATCTCTGTGTGTTTCAGGCAAGCCCATTGTATTCCTTGAGAATAGGGCACAGTTGCCATTTTTTAAACTGAGAACATTGCAGGTGGAGGGGAGAAAAACAAGAGGCAGACAAGGGTCCAGGCACATGGGCATGGCCCACTCAGAGTCTACAGAGAGAAATAAAATAATTCTCCATCTTAAAGGGAAAAACAAACAAAAAAAAAACTAGAAAGGATCCAAGGTGATAAGTGGGTTTCGAAGATTCGCTGGGCACATAATTAGTGCTAGGATGGTGGGGATGTTGACCAAGAAGTGAAGGAGCCTATTTC